ATATATATATATATATATATATATATATATATATATATATATAACTTATAATAAATATTAAAGTAGTCATGTGTTATTTTTAAAAATTAGATTATCTATTTTAATTTCAATTAATGGTTCAATTTATTTTATAATTTTATTATTATTTTTTGTTAATTGTACAATAAAAAAATAAATACTTAATTTTAATGTTATAATATTAAATAAACTATAAAAGATAAATAATCCTCTCTCATTATTTATTCCAAAAATTATATAAGTTTTTTTATAGTTTTTTATTGTCAAACTTATTTAATAAATTATATAATTGGAATATTAATTTATTTTACTTTTTCATATGAAACAAGATGGGTCGGGGAAAACTCAAATATTGAGGCTCGGGTTACCCGTTTACCGACGAAAACCCACTAACCCGTCAGGGTAAAACCCAAATTGTCTTTCAGAATTTTCCACGCATCTTGAGCGGTTGTGCACTGAATGATCATCTTATGGCGAGTTGGATCCACGACTGACATAATTGCATAGAGTGCACGAAAATTCGCTTCTTCGGCTAGTTTTCTGCATAGGTCCACATGTCCCTTGGTTTCTCAACTATAAAAGTGGTCGAGGTTAAAGATTTTGACTCTGAGGACTCATCAACCTTGGATCCGAAGGAACTTTTTGCATGAGTGGAGTAGACCATCCTGATTCGACAACTTGCCAGGTTCCTTTTCCTAGAGACCGAAGAAAAATCACCATCATGGATTTTCAGTATCTATAGTTAAAACTATGAAGAAACGGAGGGCGCAAAACGGACATCTTATCGTGATTCATTGTGACCAACACACAGTCCCAATGATCTTTATCCTGTAATAAGAACAGAAACACTGCTCTGGTGTCAATTGAAACATATAACTTTAACCACGAGTGCGCAAAACGATGTAAGAATGCAAATAACAACGTAAATAGCTGAATCAATAAACCAAAGATGTAAAAAACTCTTCAGGGAAGCGTCCCACTTCCCCTCAGAGCTCTTTTATTGATAAACCGTTCACACTTGGACTTACACGACTCGAACTCCCTTCTAGTCTAGCCACAACTACACACGATCCTATCAATTACTTCTACGGCCACGTCCCATGGACTTTTATCTCTCGAATCCCTCGAGCTAACAACGATACTTAATCCCTAAGTACTGATCACAAAAGTATTTGAATGAAAACCAAAGGAAACAAAACAAACGTGTTCAGTTATTCGATGGCGTAAGAACACCGAAAACTAAATAGCGTAAATAAAACTGAAAAGCTTGAACCTTGAATTTTGAATGGAAGATGATAGTCGCAGCAGTCTCTCTTCGATCTTCAAGCATGGTACATATGCAACTCCTTAGGTTAAGAGTCTTCTCCAAGTATGAGACTCCTTTTTTATTTCCTTCCAAGTTTATCCAAGGAAACATTGTAAGTGTGGATCTCCTCTTTCTCTCTCCAAGATCTCCTTATTGTGCATGTCTCTCTTTCACTGTTCATGCATATTCATTCCTATAATAAAAATACCAACATAAGATCATGCAAATATAATGGATATATAAATAAATATTCAAAATATATATTATATATATAAATGATAAAAGAACTTCCCTTTTTTATTCCTCATGCTTGCAAGAACATATATTCAATATATTATTTTGAACTTATTTCCAAAATAAATCTTTCAGTTGAGGAGTTGGTTCATGTTATATGTATATAATGTTTGTAAATATATGGTGTTTGATTTAGTTTGGCCAAGTAGGTTGACTATTCATAGTTTAATTGCTAGATTTGAGGCTTTAATCCGTAATTATTGTCTCGTTTCGTTAGTAGTAAACTAGGGATCGTGCATCTCTAGGGTAGCATGAACATAAGTTAAATGGTCCGAACTATTGTGTCGTTGCTTAGACTGATCTATTTTTCTAGAGATTAATGCTGCTAGTGAATTAAATCTAGAGAGTTTATTCTAGGTTATTCACTAGTTAGGTTTATCCGAATAGCTATTTCGATTAAATATTCGGTAAGGGAAGATTCAGTTAACAGAGTTTATTGTTAGCTAGGGTCGGTAAGTTATTACAATTTAAAGAAAATGTCGAAATTAATTAACGATAGATTTAGATTGGGTGATAATTGAACCGTAACTGGACTTCTCTTAATTTATTTATTTTTATTTTATTTTGTTATTTTTATTTTTATTAAAACTAATCCACCCCTTTTACTGCTTTTGTAGTTTAGTTCAATTAATACGAAAATTGTCACAATTTAATTTCTACTTCTCGTGTCCCTTACCGCCGCTACTACTAGTTAGTAGAGGTCAGTTAAGGAAACTTTATAAATTTAAATTTGCCGGGTCGCGACGCGCGGCCAATCATGGCTCATAAAATATATTATGTCATGTGAAATAGACTAGTATTCATCCTGTGCACATGCACAAAGAAAAATAAAAGTTTATATATTATATTTATGTATACAATATATACAAATTTTATATTAAATAATTCATGTATTACATTTTAAATTTGGACTACATGCAAATGTGTAATGTAAATATATATATTTAACTTACGTATGAATCTTTATATAGATGCCATAAATTTTAATGGCTAATGTAATTTAGTAATTTAGAGAGACCATACAATTAATTAGTTAAAGTATTACAATTATTTTTATCATTGTTATAGCATTTGTTTGTGTGATTTTAAGGTGTTTAATTATGACACTCATGCCAATTAACTTATTAGATAAAAATTGCTTAAAAAGAACAAAAATATTTTATTTTAGAAAAAGTATTTTTAAAAAAAAAAATTGCAATATAATTTTTTATAAGTATGTAACTTCCACATACTATTTAATGTAAAGTTGTAATCAATTAGTGTTAGTAGTGAATATATTATATTAAAATAATTATTACATCTTATTAATGTAAAATGTAACGGCTCTACATTAATTAAAAATGAGCGGAAAAATGAATGGAGGTTTTATTAAATGTTTTATTAAATTCTATATGCCAGCAATTATATATATATAGATTCAGTGGACTTGATTTTAATGTGAATCATCATTGGTTGACTTTGAGCTTTGTTCTTGAATTATTTGTTCAAGCTTGTTTTGGGGCAACTGTTTGAATTATATGTTTGATGCTTCATTTGTCGCAATATTCAATAATATGGATTGATCATGTTTAGAATTTTATTTCAGTTTCTTGATCATAGTTGGTGATAAAATTGGACTCTTGATCAAAATAAAATTCCTGCATTCTGAATGCATATAAGTTTGCAGGTTTTGGCAATTAGCCTGGGTCTGGTTGTTAAACATTTGATGACCCATTTAAAGGTCACTCATCGATATGAGTTAAATGTTTGACACTTTATGTTTAATTTTAATGGACAGATTGAAATAAAATGTTGCCAAAGTGACCTCTTTGCGTAGATTAATTCATTTATATGCTAAAGATAGTTGTATTTTTGTAATTCATGTTTGTGTTGATTAACCTAAAAGTGAATTGAAACATGGCCGAATTACAAACATACATGTGATAATAAATCCATGACAATTATAAAATTTTCATGTGAACAATAATTCTTTCCAATGATAGATTTGTTGTTTGACATAATTATTGTCAAGATTTGATTATTACAACAAGAGTACCACTTATATTTAATAGACTATCCAAAGATTTGATATTAATGTCGCGCTTGGTATCTTGCTATGGGTTTAATCCATGTCTGGTTTAAATGATTAATTATGGATAATAATGTGAGTATCTTTGTTTATTATTCTCTTTAGGTTCTTCACCTATGGTATCTACTAACTATCCAGTCCCCACTTTTTCTGGGTACAACTTTAAGAACTGGAAAGAATCAATTTTGATTCATTGAGCTGGATGGATCTGACTTGGCGTTAAGGATAGACCAACTTGCTTCTCTTACGGAGAACAACACTATTGAGGAAAACAGTGCTTTGAGAAGTGGGAAAAGGCTAATCGTCTAAGTCTTATGATCATAAATAAAACCATTTCAGAAATCTTTTGTGAAACGATCTATGATGATATCACTCAGGCTAAAGAGTTCCTTGTCGAGATAGAAAAGCCTTATACCAAAGCGATAAGTCGGAAATGAGTACTCTTTTAAAGACACTCATTACCATGAGGCATCTTGACAAAGACAACATAAGGGAGTACATCCTCAAGATGTCCAACATTGCTTCTAAGTTGAGGGCACTACAGTTAGACCTTTCGGAGGAAATGCTTGTCCTATTGGTCATGCTCTCTCTTCATACTCAATACGATCAATTTAATGTCAGTTACAACTGCCAAAAGGAAAAGTGGACTCTTAATGAACTCATTTCTCACTGTGTTGAGGAAGAAGAAAGAATGAAGCATAATAGGGTTGTGGAGGTACATATGGTTGGTACCTCGAAAAATGTTGATGGATTTAAAAGAAAGTTTAAGACCGTTAAGGTTGAGACATCAACTTTAATCATTACTGAAAAATCGTCTGTACAGTGCGCATTAAATGTAGAGGGATTCGAAAGTCACCCATCTAGTGGCGCCCAAAACGCAGGGACACAAGTCGCGATCCGGACGATTCAATAATCGTAAGATTAGGTAGTCTAGTACAAGGCATTAAATGTAGAATGACTTAATATCAACAAGATATCTTGTAAAAGAAAATAGAAAATGAAAATCCAAAAGAGAACTGTAATAAGTCATCACATTTCCTATGAAGAGAGAAGATGCAACATTAAATGCAATGAGTAAATGATCGCATTAACAATAAAAAGTCACGAATAGACTACACATTTGTACGAGTTCCAGTGCAAAACTCTATTCATGTAGACCGAACAGAGTATACATTCTAGTAGACGGTTTGAATTATTATTGACCACATTTTAGACATCAACAGATGCATCTCACTCATGATGCATATTTAAATTAAATATATAATGATGCATATTTAAGTCAATGAGAAAATATAACGATGGATTACCTCTCAAATAGGATGAACACCATTGAAATCACGTTAAGACGTAAAAAGCGAATTTTTACTATCAATGTTTGAATTATATATATATTTTTAAAATTTTTTTGACAAGTTAATGTACTAATTAATTTGGCTCGTTAAAGATCGAGTTTGAGTAAGCTTGTTTGATAAACAAGTCGAACTCGAGCTCGCTTAAAGTTCGTTCCGTTAACGAGTTGGACTCGGTTATGTTGGAATATCAATTTGTGAATTGTCTCACATTGATTCCATAGAAAAAAATGAGTCTAGCTTATAAGGGTATGTTTGGTAAGCCAAATAAGCTAGCTTATAGCTTATTTGGTTAGCTTATAAGCTCCCTATATTAAAATAAGCCGTTTGGTAGGACGAGCTTTATTTAAACAACTTGAGCTTATCTCATAAGCTACTTTAGGTAGCTTTTCAAATAAGCTAGTTGAATTTTTATGTTTCAGCTAGCTTATCAGCTAATTTACTAACACTTTTATCATATAAGCTGTTTTTCAACTATAAGTCATAAGCTATAAGCTATATGTTCAAAAATTACATATATAAGCTATAAGCTAGCTTATC